CATGGGCCACGAAGTTTCAATCGCACTGTACATGTGTGCCCGCACGTGGTATTTTGTGGAAGAGCCACACTCAAGGGGCCAAAGAGCCACATGTGGCTCATGAGCCGCGGTTTGCAGACCACTGGTCTAGATGATAATCACCATTAGGTGAAAAATTGATGTTTACTTGTCCCAGCATCATTTGTTCAAAACACTGTTCTCTCCCTATTGTAGTGTCTTGGCACCTTTGTTGGAAATAATTGACCATAATTGTAAGGATTTATTTCATTTTTTCATAGTTACTATATCTTTTTTCATGCTGTTGAGCATCTTTACTATCATTACTCTGAACTTTATTTCAGATAAATTTCTTACCTCTGCTTCATTTATCTCTTCTTCTGGAGAATTCTCATGTTCTTTCATTTGGGGGTTGTTTTTTTGTCTCCTCATTTTGGCTGTCTGTTTTGGTTTGTGACTATGTATTAGGTAGGTCCTCTACTCTCTTAATCTCTAGTGCAGGACAGTGTCAAATGCTGTTTCCAACTAATTAGATCAGGCAAAGACTCAAAGCCTCCAGAGACCGCCTCTGCCTACAGACTAATAGGATTCTGACTAGAATTGCCCCCCAGGCAATTGTCCTCAGGTGTGGTGAGATTTTTTTTCATCCAGAGACCGCCTCTGCCTACAGACTAATAGGATTCTGACTAGAATTGCCCCCCAGGCAATTGTCCTCAGGTGTGGTGAGAGTTTTTTTTCAACAGGGTGGAGCAGTTGCTTCTGCCTAGAGTCTAATTGTTACTTTTAATCTCTTAAGTGGCCTCAGGCAATGTGTTTTCCAATAGGGTGTGTCAACTGTCTTCCCCCCAGGCAAGGCAGATGTTGGTGTGGGAAAGATGCCTCCTATGCATGAGGGAATGACTCAGCCCAGGAAACTGGGGGTGTCTGCCTTCTGAACTCTAACCCCAAGTCCCCAATCCTGGCTTCTGCTCACACTGCTCCAGTCCACTCTGCCAGAGCACAAGGTGGGTGGCTCCACAGGGAATTTTGTGTGTTGGTCCTTTAAGAGAGTGCCTGAATTTCCAGCTCTCTCCCTGGCAGATGGCAACCCTGCTGCTTTTCACGGCCAGATGTTGTGTGGGCACCCTTCTCAGTTGTGGTACTCTCTACTGGGGAGCCCAGCTTGGGGATTAGACCCCAGAGTTCTCAGTGGCTCCCCCCACAGCTGAGATATCTCTTCGGAACTTCAGTTGCTGTCTGGGGTGCCCGGCCAGCCCTTTTGCACCTCCACCCCTCCTACCAGTCTCTATGCGGTATCAGGGTTCTCTCCTGTGTGTCTTCCATGGATTACTCAGGAAAATTTTCTGTGTTTTAGTTGTAATTCCAGTTTGTTCTTGGTAGCATGTCCGTGCTTACTCTTTCGCCATCTTTAATTTCAGTCTGATGCTGAGCTTCTCAAGACTCCATGGTAGTGACCAACAGCTCAACTCACTTCCAAAATGATTCCCAAGGGGGTGCTCTGGCACCCAAATCCTCTCTTTGTTAGGCTGTTGCTAGGGACGCTTTTCCTAAATACTTTTTTAAAAAATTTATTTTTAGAGAGAGAGAAAGGGAGAGAGAATATAAATCCATGTGAGAGGTTGCCTCCCACACACACCCTCAAGGATTTATTGATTGATTATTGATCCTATTCCATTGATTATATGTCTATCCTTAAACCAGTACTGATTATTGTAGGTTTGTAGTAAGTTTTGAAATTCAGTCCACCAACTCTGTTCTTTTTAAAATATTGTTTTGGCTTTCTGGCTTTCTTGCCTTTCCATGTTAATTTTAGAATCAGCTTGTCAATTTCTGGGGGGAAATGCCAGCTGAGGTTTTGATAGGGATTGTGTTGCATCTATAGATCCATTTGGGGGAGTATTTCCATTTTAACAATAAGCCTTCTGATCCATAAACATGAAGTGTCTTTCTATTTAATCATCTTTCATCTTTCAGCAATATTTGTAGTTTTTGTTTCCTTTCTTCTTTTTTGTAATTCTTACCTGAGGATATGTTTTAAATGATTTTTTAGAGAGAGAAGAAAAGAGAGAGAAAAACATCAATCTGCTGCCTCTGGTATGCATCCCGGCCAGGGCTCAAACCTGCAAACTTCAATTTCCTGACTGGGAATTGAACCTGCAACCTTTTGATGTATGGGATGGCACTCCAACCAACTGAGCCACACTAGCCAGGGCTATTTTGTAGTTTTTAGTGTAGAAGTCTTACACTTCTGTTGTTAAATTTATTCCTAAGAATTTTGTTCTTTTTGATGCTATCCAAGTGGAATGTTTTAATTTCGTTTTGGATTGTTCATTGAGAGTGAATATAAATACAATTGACTTTTGTAGATTCATTTTGTTTCCTGCATACTTGCTTAGCTCATTAGTTGTAATAATTATTAAATGAGTTCCTTAGGCTTTTCTAAATATATCCCCTCTGCAAATAAAGATAAGTTTCTTTCTTCTTTTCCAAACTGTATGCTTTTTTTTCCCTTCCCTGTCTTTTTTTTTTTTTTTTTTTTTTTTTTTTTTTTTTTTGCCTAATTGCCCTCTTTAGGACCTCAAGTATAATAGTGAATAGACTTAGTGGTGAGAGAGAACCTCCTGGTCTTATTCTTGATCTTAGGGGAAAAACATTTAACTTTTTATCATTAAGTGTACCTTACCTGCTTTTCTTTCATTAATACTTTTTAAATCCTCACCTGAGGGTATG